CCCACCACCACCAACTTACGTTGGTGGTGGTGGGTTCGAGCCTCCACCAACGCCAACAAAGATATTTTCAGGTAAAAATATATTTATATTCAGATCAGGTTCAGATATTTTGTCTTATTTTTGACTGTTTTCCTCTTTGCTCTTTTTTAACGAAATTTTTAACGAATGGTGGCTTGTGTGAAGGATATTGATGCTATTGAATTTTGATGGTTAAAGGATGGGAAGATGAGGAGATAAAGGAGTGTGTCATATTTCGAGAATAATAGGACTTAATGTTAATGAGGAATAAAATCTTCATTGACACTTTTTATAAAGCTCATTTCTACCCTCAAAATTAAGCCTTTTGCCATTTTATAGTAATTAAAAATATGAGATCTTCTTATAAAAGGTTTTTTTTTTAATTTATAACAGATGGCGCCTCACACAATTTTATTTATTTTGCTTAATAGTACAAAAGTTATTGGGCCAAGCGGTTCCTTTCCCCGAACACTGGGAGTTCGGGCCTGGCCAGGACGGGCTGGCCACGTGGAGTTTTCCAAGTTTTCTTCACGTCTATAATACCTGAATAAGGGCCAGTTATCCTTAAAAAGACCTTCCCCTATGCAGATCGCCCAAGTGTTGCGTTGCCTTAACAAAAGGGCTGCCGCAAGGGAGATAAAGCAGACAATCAAGTTGACCTAAGGTGGCTATGGATTTACATAGGTATTAGATTAGTAACAATAGTTTGGACTAACGCAGCTTAATGGAGATTTTTCGCAAATTTTAAATGTTGGTTCCTTCTGTAGCATCTAAATTACATCCTCCGAATACTTCTTTGGGAATAAAATTTCATAAATCGAAAATTATTTTTACTTTGCTATAACTATTAACGAATATATATATATATTTTTTTATCGTTTATTAATAAATGATAAGAAATAATATTAAATTTATTATTTTATAATTTTACATTTACACTTGATTATAATTGAGATTTTAACCGAAATTTAACCGTTCCATCCGACAACGCCATCTACAGAAAACCGGCGTTAACACGTAACGTCAACATACCAGACGTCGTTAATTTTACTAGAACTAACTTGCCTGGTTTACGCACAACGGTGCTTATCGATCTCCACGCCATGCATTTCTTTCGTATTTTTCGATAATCCCATCTCAAAGGGTTCCATAACCACGGATAACGTTTCACTTCCGTTATAAGAACCGCGGTCAGTTCCGTACTCCAACTCTCCGCCATTAAAGAAAAATTAACGAAACGTTCTGTGATTGGTTAGATTCGGCAGCTCGATGCATATTTCTGCCGCAGACGTCAGAAACTAGCTGAGGTCATCGATGCACGCTTCGTTACTATGGAAACCAGCCGCCGTATCGTCCAAACTGATCGATGTCCTGATCGATCGATCGATCGATCGGATATTCGCTTTTCGAATATTGAAATAAATATAATAAAATGCATATAAACTGTATAAAATTTTAATAAAATAAATTCAACTGAAGTTCAACCCAAATATTTTTTTTTTACATATAAAATTGATTTATGTTTGATTAATTGCAGTGAAAAATAAAAGATATTTTATATACAAGTTTTTACTTTTTCTTCAATTATATATTACAAAAAATATCATGATTTCAAGCATGAAATGCTTTAATAATAAAATTATTACAAATAAACACATGAAATAATATATAATTGTTTTAAGTCCAGTTATAAATGAAGACATATATTCATAAATTAATGCAATTAGTTATATTAAAAAAATAATTTATAAGAATGACAGTACAATCAAATGAATTCTAATATGGATGAAGAAGAATAATTGAGTTAACAATTTATATTAAGATAATTATACATCTTTAGAAACAATTTCTCTTATTGATATTGAAGTCTGATATTGATAATTTGTATAAGTTTGGTAAATTAATTAATAAATGAAATGTGTCATCACACATTGTGTATACTTTGTGGTGCCCACCAGAACCGAACACTGAGTTCGGTTGTGGGTTCGCGCCTTGCTTGGACAAGCTGGCCACGTGGAGTTTCCAGGTTTTCTCCACGTCTGTAACGCCTAAATAGGGACCAGTTTCCCTTAAAAAGACCTCCTGGAAGGCATCTCCCCTAGGCAGATTGCCCACGTGTTGCATTGCCATAACTTAACAAATAAACAAACATATACTTTGTGCGTCAAAATTTACAGCTATGTTTTCACTTTAGATTGTTATAAATTAATGTTATCAAATTTGTCGGGACCACGCGGTAGATTTTCTCAGTATGATGCAAGTCTTCGAAATTCCGCCGCTTATGCCACCTCTTAAATGCTGCTTGTTCCACCCCATTATGGTGCCGCCTAATGCGGCTGCATCTCTGCATCATATCATAGCACAGCACAGCCCTGAAATTTGTATAAACTTAGAAAAAGATAAGTATAATTTAAGAAAATGAAATCACAAATACAATACAATTAAAATATTTTTTAATGTCTTAAAATAATAATAATAATGAATTAATAAACATTATCACTAAGCATTAGTGATAAAAAGTTTTTTTTTATTTTTAAAATAGCTGTATCCTTTATTTTATTTGTTACTTACTGCCATTAAAGTGAAAATCATCTAACAAAGATTATCAGTTTTATATTTTAATAGAAAATAATATATTACATATTTAAATCAATAAATTTTATAATAAAAATTCCAGGTTTAAGTAAATATTGAATTATTAATACAGAAAAATTATTCCATGGAATTCAATGAGAATGAGATTGCAAATTTTCAGAGTAGATTTTAATGAAGAAAATTTTATGCAACTTCAAATTAAATTTTAAAAGTTGTGCGTTTTGAAAAAGAAAAAAAAAACTATTTTAATTTTAAATAAAATATTATATTATTTTATTGTTTCTAGTTTTGTATTCAGAATAACATATCAGTGATACTTTAGTTTACAGAGCATTTGAATAAAATTCAGTCTGATCTCATCGATGATACTTTACCTGCCGATTCTAATATGTGCCATATTCAATTACAGCATTTACAGTATATCAGAAAAGGTAAATCAAGTTTTAATAAATCTTTACTCCTTTCAAATTAAAAATAGTTTCATGATCTATTTCAATTTTATAGATATTTATTTATCAAAACTAAATAGAAAAGGTTTTTTTTTTTACTATTTGGCAAAAACATTTTTCTTATATTTACTTTAAATATTTACATCAATATTTAATAAATGATTTTATGATAAATATTTCAGGTATTCTAGAATCATCACTTCATACATTAAATGCTGGCCATATTTTGCTGGAAGAATTGCATCAAGTAGGAGAAGATAATTTGGGTGATGCTCGACCAAATCATGTTTATCCTGCCGTCCAACAAGCCACGAGCATAATTGAAAAACACATGGAATTATTGCATGATCAGAAATACAGGATAGATATATTCTGGAATAAAAGAAAACTGATTCTTGAACAGTGCTTAGAAATATTCACTGTGTCAAGTGAATTGGAACAGGTAATATATATATTGAAATTTAAGTACACTTACTAATATATATATATATAAGAAACATCTCAAATTAAACTTACAATAAATATATTCTAGATACATAATTTACTAATAGAAAAAGTTCAGAACAGTAAATTTAATAATGAATTGGGTGATTCAGTTACCACTGTGGAAAGACTCCAGAAGAAGCACAGTCAGTTAGAAAATGAAATTAAGGTAAATTATTTTAATAAATAAATCATAGATAATTAGCTATATATATTATAATTGATATTATATTTAAAATACTTTTGTTCATAAATTCACATTCCTGAAGTGATATTTGATATGTTTGTATGAATGTTTTTCATTACTTACAGATACCTAAGAAAACTAAAACAAATTAATTTTACATTTGTTAATTACTGATAATAATATATATTATTTTCATGTATAATTTAATTGTTCTACAATTAACAGAAATTTTAAATATTTTATTTATAAACTTTGTTTAATTTAGCTATAATATCATTTAACTTCAGAGAAATTAAAAAAACATAAAATATTAAATTGACATGATAAAAATAAAATAAGAGGTTTTAATATTATTTAATGCTGAGAATAAGGTCTCACAAAAGTATATAGAGGGAAAAATTGTGAGTAAAGCAATCACTAGATTTTTCAGGGTGCTAAAAGTGTCTGGTAATCTGTTCCAAGCACTCAAAATTTCCTGTTCATAGTGACACTCTTTGTCATTCTCCAAGCGATTCCTTTCCAGAGTCAGATGTTTGACCTCAAGTCAACAAACACTTAAGCCTAGATGCTATCTTAAAATTCTGCAAGTTGCATCTCCAAATCATCAATTTGTATCCATTGGAAACCATTTAATTTCAAAGTACTGAAGACTACTTCATCTGGAAACAATGCATGTCACCCAAAATGTGTGGTGTGTCACCTTTGACACATGTGTCATAGGTTTGCTATAACTGGCTTAGAGAGTTCCCCCATGCAGGTATGAAGGAAAACATATCCAATAAAGTAAACATGCTCTACAACTCAAATGAAAGAAACAAAAGTTTATTTCACCCAGGGCTGTGGAGTCGGAGTCGTGGAGTTTTGGTGTTTTAGCTGGAGTCGGAGTCAGATGGTAAGGAAAAGTCGGAGTCGGAGTTGGAGTCGGTAGATTTTTATGCGACTCTACAGCCCTGGCAAGGCTGTGGAGTCGTAGTCGGAGTCGTGGAGTTTTGGTGTTTTAGCTGGAGTCAGAGTTGGTAGATTTTTATGCGACTCCACAGCCCTGATTTCACCATCCTTAAGTTCAGTTCAAGACTCAGTTATCATAATATATACCTTAATTATCCATATCTCTCCTGCACTTGCTGTTCGTTACACGCACAACTCGAGAACAAAGAAAGGAAATACTACCTTGCCACTCTTTGACACCTACTTCTTACCTCATCTTTTCGTCTCATTTGCCAAGCCAAAAATTTGCTCTTTGTCCTGTAGGCCTGCACAAGCGTTCTTCTAGATCTGGGTCCCTCTGATGTCATTGAGCCCTGAGAAGCTTGGATTCTATCTCAACCCTTCCAACCATGACAAGCCCATTTGATAGAGAACCATGTGGTCTTAAGACCACACTTCATTAAAATTAAATATTCAATATTAAAACAAAATTGTAATTATTATTAGAAGAGAATCATTGCTGAATATTGTGTAATATATGAATAATATAATTTTTAAATCATTAAGCTCGTAAATGATTTTATANTCTAATATTATAAACTTATTAACGTATACAATTTATTTCTGTTTACACACGACATTCCGGAAGACAATTCTCACTACCTTTACCTTTTATCCATCTTATAATTTATTTCGTATAAATTGTTTCTTGGGCATAGATCATTCTTTATTTATGTATATTTACACAAGCCCACGTGGGTTAATGAATATGGAAATTCTTCGCCTAAATTCCACCTATTCTCACAAATTTAACTGCTGTTGATTTCTATTAAAATTAAGAAGTAATCGTGTCTTATACAATAAAATTTAATTTACTAGACATTTCGGAAGATTTAAATCTTTATTTTTATCTAAAAATAATAGAAATCATTTCCAAAAGATGGCGCCATAGGTATAATAGAAATTCTTTTTTTTAAAAAAGAAATATAATTTTTTAAATAATAAAAAACAAATTTTTAATTTTTAATTCGTGTTTTATTTATTAATCGTTATTACATAAACGTATAAAATTTAAAAAATGTTTAATGTAAATGATTAGATAATATATGTTAATAGTAAACATTACGAATTCAAGGACGTTCAGATTTACGGTTGGATTTTTGCCACCATTATTCTTCTGAAAAAATACAATTTTTCACTAATCAAATAACAAAGATCGGGTTACTTATTTGCAAGTAATTAAAAAAAAAACGTGCAAATGCGGTACATTTTAAGCCATCTGCTGCCGGCGTTTACATATGTGAGGCCCGCACCTCGTAAGAATCCAGTCACGAGACATGCCTAGAATAAATTTAGTTTTCTCTCCCTCTATACTAACTGGATACAATACCGCCCGGGCATTTATTCTAGGAATTGTCAGGGGGTGACAAGATGATGAGTGTCGGGCAATAAGCGGCTTCCAACAAGCGTGTTATTACCCCCGCTTTAGTCTCCGGACAGCTAAAAAAAAAAAACACTTATTTTGGATCAAGAAGACACATCCCCGTTTAAATATCCTCATTTTAGCTATATCGACTAAAAATATAAATAGAAAAAAAAATAATTATAAAAATTAACAATGAACGTTTCTATTCGACATACAGAAGGTTGTGTTTACGTTTTAAAAGATAAGTAAGACTAAACACAACGTATATAAATAAAAAAATAAGAATAGTAATAAGTATAACGATTATGTTTAATTTAAAGCGATAAAATATTAATAATAATAATTTATTTTTGGGATAAAAATAATAAAAATGGAAAGAACGGTAGCGCATCATCACACAGCCTTAGGCGTACTTTTCGTTTCTGCCGGTAGGAAAAACCAGTTTGTAAAGACCGCTAGAGGGATTGAGATCGAACACAAGAAAGAAGAAAAGTATGCCGGTTAGAAGGTAGAAAGCGCTGTTTAGTTCGGCCGTTTCTTGGCTTGAATAAACGTGGTGGCAGTGAAGTTAGAGAGATGCGCCTGATCCCTATACTTGTTTATGTCAGCTAGCACTTATCATGACTGATAAAACTAAGTTACCCACTACGGCCGTCAGTACCATAGCCGTTCAGTCGGGCAATACCAGAATTGTCACCGCACTTTTACAGGTGAGTAGATAATTACATCAATATCAATCTTTTATTTGTTAACTCCTCTTGTCATTTTTCATTCGCCTTTTATTATTATTATTATTATTATTTTTTTTTTATGACTTCGGTATGTTCGGCGCGCTTTATTATGATTTAGGTCATATATATTTTACCGCACACCTGTCTTTCTTCGTGTTTCCTGTTCTATAAAAATTACATATATATTATTTAGTTTATAAATTGTTTTATCCACGATAACATGTCTTAAATAAGAAGAGTTTTGAAACATACACTTCGCCTTTTTTATTGTAAAATTTTAATTACTTATTTCCTTAAATGATTAATTAATTGTTATTTATGAATACTTCCTTTAAGAGAAATTTCGAAACATTTTTAACTATATTCAGTAATACCTAAACATACAATTCGAATTGTTTTATAAGTATACCAATGAATTCGGCTTTTATAAAAGAAAAGAGAAAAAAAAAAACAAAACTGGATTCACTTTTGTCGGCCATTAAATAAGTACAGTATAAGCTATTTGTTACATCAATAAACTAAAGAATCGCGAGATGTGTGACGTAAGCAAACGTTATTATTTTTTTTTTTTTAATTCTCCGATGACGTCTAAACACGAGAAAGAAAATCGACACCAGAGGGACTTTGTTTTAAACCTTTCGGTATTTACTCCAGTCACGTGTCGTGGGAATAGAATGCATTAAAATTTAAAAAGTAAATAAATAGTTACTGATATGACCTTGAAGTAAACAGTTTAATATTAAGTTAAGAAGTAAGTAAACTGTAGTAGATGAAATCAATTTGACCTTGCTTGTAATAGTCCTTGCCAGGAAACGATGTAGCGATAATGTACTTTATAAGACCGCTTGTTATTATAATAATACAAGATGCATAATTGTAATGAAGCAGGTGCGAAAATATTATATCTACTATATGGAGTTTTTATCTGACGTTCCTATTTTACTGGATAAAAAAAAAAAAAATACTTGTTAGCCTCAATACTACTTAGCCTGGCGCAATAAATTGTATGCCACAGCGGTACACGTGGGTGGAGTGGACACCCTGTAAGTGGGTTGATGTCGATTTAAAATTCTCAATTTTCTACGGTTTTTAAAGATCAAAAGAAAATGATATAGAGATGTCTACATACAAAACAGGATATACAATCTATCGACATTAATTTATTAATTAAACTTCGATATCCAATTGTTTTATTATTATTATTAAAAGTGATATAATTTATTTCCTTTATAAAACAGATTAGGGGATATTCCAGTGGAAGATCGACTAAAGGGACTTGTAATTATTCGTAATTGCTGATAACGAAACCAGATTGTTCTTTATTATCTTCTGTCTGGGTGTGGGAAACACTTTTAACAGTTGTTTATGGGCGGGAGAGAGAGAGAACTTTACCTCATTTCTAAATTTACACCAGAGCAAAGGAGGAAGTCAACATTACTAGAATATTAACATTTTGCTGATATGTTTTATGTAATTTGTGTCACACGTTTTATTTGTTCGACCAGTTAATCCAGTTTTAAATTAATAAATAATAAATTTTTAATTATTTTATTACGTTCAATCTTACGTACAAATCGACAATTGAGTTTACCCTTATATTTAAAGAATAACAATTGTTAATAGGAGTATAGCTTTGTTATCATCGAATTTATTACTAAAATTAAATGTGCGAATTAATTAATATCCGTTAAAAAAAAAAAAATTGCCGATTCATATTAAGTCTGCTTATGTGTATGGATGTTTTAAAAAGTCACACACGTTATATATAAATAATAAAGTTATTGTTACTTGTGAAAAATTAAGATTGAACTTCATTCAGAGGTCATTAAGTGTCAAACGAGTCATAAATATCAGACTGATAGTCGAGACGTAAATCCTACGTAATTTCCCTCCTACCCACTGTTAAATACCTACACGATGGCCTTGAAATTGTCCAGTTGTCACGCCTCATCGATATACCTGTTGGGATTTTTGCTCCTCAAACTCTATTGTTCACAACAAAACTCGAATTTGCAAAAGTACTATTAAAAATAAAACAATTTGATTCTTCTTTAAAAAAAAGTTATTTTGAATAATTCTTCGAATTATTATTAATTCATTCCCGATCTGAAAACCGGATAAATAGAAGTATTTGTTGATAACTCGGGACAGGAAACAGATGTCGACGAAGTTCTTAAGCAAGAATATTATTCTTTTTTACTTCTTTCTATATTAAAAGTTCGGATGCGTTTTGTTAAATAAATACTCGTTCTTATGTATAAATTTACGCAATAGTTTCTAAAGTACAGTACATCCTACGTTGTAGGAAACAGGTAAATAAGAAATCATCGAGATTTATCTCTCGTTTCTGTTTTTTTTTTTTTTTTTTTTTCTACGTAGGAGTATGATGTCATTTTCTCCATTTGTGGGTTTGATTTTTACCATATATAGCTAAATAAACATTTCTGAGAGATGAATACGAACTTAAATTAGTTTACATTACATACTGTCTGTCATTTTATTCATTTTAATAAATATAATTTACAAGTTTAGTATTAGTTTAATGCTTCAAACGTAAATTTAAGTATTTAATTGAATAAAATTAGCATTCCGACAATCATTCAATTGTATGTTTAATTGAAGAGATTTTTCAATTGAATTTAATTTAATATAAACTTGAAAAAATTCTTTTCTTAATCTGTCAACTGTTTAAACTCTTTAGATAATGGTTAGACTGTGTTTATTGTTTATTTTGATTATGTTAGATTATCTTCAATTTTCTATAGAAAAAAAAAATTAAAAGATAATTGTAACCGGAAAGCATTACTAGAAAAAAAAAAAAACCCCTCCCACGCTTTATTTCGATCTTACAGTTTTATGATTGATATGTGGGATGAACGTTTAACCCACCGTATTCAATCTCAACCCACATACTCCGATATGAGGATTCATTTTCAATTCAACAAATAAATTTTTAATGGATGAGATTCCTGAGATACATAGATACAAAGTAAGTTTTACACGATCAGAATGTTAAAAAGTATAAACTATTTCAATTTATTTATTCCCCTTTCTAGTATCTTTCATTACTTTTATGTCATTTTATCCCTACGAGTACCTCATTCGATTATAAATGGAGATAAGTACAGCATATATATATATGTATATACATCCTTGAGCACAACTCCGTCAAACCCGAAGCCAAAAATCACATTAAATCATCATGTTTGGGGGATCAGTAAAGGGTTTACCGATTAGTTTATCTTTTTTCCTGGTGCAATAACATCTCGAGTATCAAAATTTGAACGGAAAAAGTAACAAATTTTGATGTTATTTTATTTTTAATACAATATTTATTATATAAATATAAACATTTCAACATAAGAAAACGGTAAATTGAGACTCGGACGATTAAAAAAAGCGGTATTCATGGCTTAGGAGGGAACGGAAACAGTCAAAACAATTAATTAATATTAAATAAGGAGTACATTTATATATAAAAATATCATCAAATTAAAATTTTAATAATAAACTCCAGTGAATAAAATATATTTTCGAAAAAAAAAAGTTGTTAGTTTGTGATGATATTTCTATTGTTTAGATTTATAACGATGAATTTTTTAAAATAATTTATTTATTTTTATAAACATTATTATAAATTTTATTCTACTCTGACCGAAATTAATTATATAAAATGTAAAAGTAGTGGGTGTAATACCATCTGTCTGAAGTGTAATTTCAGAAATGATTTAATCGCATCCATCGAAAACCCATTACTTAATGCTAGATTTTAATCGCAAAAAAAAAAATTTGAATTAAATCTGTCATTTTATATTATTAATTAAACACTCGTTTAAATGTTTTGTTTAAAATTTTTATAGACATTTGAATAGAATGTTCGAAAATAAACTGTTACAACTGATAAATATACAATGGGGTGATTATAATACCAGTGAATGTCTGTCGGTGTTTTTGTTCATCTCTTATGCATTTTATTTAAAAAGTTTTCTATAGAGATGTTAAAGAATTATTAAAAAAAACTTAACAAAAAAGTTTTATTTCAGAGTAAAAATACCTTTCAACTGAAAATACACGAATTGCAGCCATGTATGACAGAAGTAGGAAGTTGCCTAGAAGAATCTTCCAGTTTATTAAACCAACACAAAGACGTAATGGAAAAAATTCGGGTAGGTTCTCCTTCATTTTTTTTAAATAAACTTTTTTACGGGTAGAATTATAGAAAATTAATAATCGAAATTTAATAGAAACAACAAAGCCCGGTTGAAGAACTGTTGCGCCAAGTGGACGGAGCCGTAGTGACTCAGAAATCGAAGGCTGTTGTGTACGATTGTATGGCCAATAATCTCAGTCAAGCTTGGAAAAATGTAAATGAACAACTAGAGAAACGCTTAAAATTATTGGAACTGGCCGTATCATATTACTCGAAAGCTAAAGAGGTAGAATCATTAACATAAGCATTTATTTTCTAAGCCATAACATAACCTTGATTAATCATTCTTAGTATTATAGTCTACTGTGAAATTGCACCTACTAACACTTCTGCACTTTACAGAATCTAAAATTTTATGGTGTTAACTAATCCTAGCTGTTTTATGAACGTTTAAGACAATTCCTTTATTAGATAGATGATCATGCATGATAATAAATGATTACTTTAAAAGTATGAAACAGCTTTGAAAGTAATAATTGTATATTGGAGTTTCTATATTTCTTTTCATGCATAGAAAATATTATAAATAAAATCTAATAATGTTTTTTTTTTAATAATAAATTAGAAATTTCAAGTAAATATCACAATAAAAAATTTTGGAAAAACGATTAAGAGGATTTGAAAACTTCTAATTATTTACATAATTTCTTCTAGAAGTATTATTTAATTAATATATAATTAAACAGCAGACACTTATTTATCATTTACATAAGAATATGTTTCAAGAGATTAGGATTTACAGAGAAAAAAATTTTCTGTTGGTCCACTCAATAATTAAATTCATTAAATGCTTATTTGGTCTAATACAAAGTTTGCATTTTTTAATGAAAAACATAACATTTTTATATAAAATAATGTTATAGAAATATATATATATATATATATTTAGATATTAAGAATAAAGAACAACCTCATGTTATACTTTCAGTAAAATATTAAATTAATATTCAAATATTAAAAAAATAAATTGCAGTTATTTGTTGTTTTATTTAAGGATTTTAAAGTATTATAAGTTTAGGTAATTACTTAATTGCTCGTTGTGGAGAAGCATTACTTTACTTTCCTTATCGAGAACAATGATGTAATTCACTGTTTCGTTAAGATGAGGGTCCTTCCTTTATACCAAATACGATAAGATCTTATCTAGTAAAGTTACTGCCACTTAAATCGAAAATTTTTATCTAATTTTCCAGAACCAAGAGGATAGAAGAAAACTATAAATCGTTCACTTTTAACTAGTAGAATTCTTGCTTTTACAGTATTATCTTTATAAAATTGTGTAGATTTATATTAGATAATAACAGATTGAAAGAAATTGTGACCAGAACTAAATGACCACGACATTATACTTATTAATATGATTCATTGATAACGATGCTGTAAGGGATGAAATAATCATCTATTTAATTCTATCATATTCTTCATGCATTATTCATCATTTGTATGTTATCTTGTTAGGATGTGCAAGATCCAATAGTTTCTTGGATGATTTTGCATATAATAGTTTTATTAACTATATATTTATCATTTCAGTATAAAAATAAATTTAAACTATAATTACAGTAAATATGAATATATATTTTTTCTGATTTTATAACCGTCTTATTCCCTGTTGTATTCGGCATTATACAATAGGCGCAAAATATCCATACGGATGATTGCACGTTGCTGAAGAGGAAGTCTTCTCATTGTAGATGCAACAATCTGTCCAAAATAATGTTCTTCATCTTCGGGTGCTTCAGACTCCATTCGTTGTTGTAATGATTCGAGTAATGCCGCAGCTCGAAGCTTTAATTTAGACCGGCGATGATTCTTATTATTTTTATTATAATTATTGTTCTGTTGTAGAGATTTGGTTTGATTTTCTAACGATATCGACTTCAATTTCGGTGCTGTTGGTACACATATTGGTACCGACGAATTTGATGTCACTGAAGACGACACTGATAATGGTACAAAGGACGTTGGCATCGATATTGGTACTACCGGAGTTTGTATCGATATTGGTCTCAGCGGGGGTGGTTGTAGGTCGTTCTGTAAGATGCCATCTATTTTTGGAACGATATATCTCGGTTTTGCAGATATTAAGTCTGATAATCTCGGTGGTAGAGGATCGTCGTCGTTACGATAGTCATTCTCCTCCTCGTATATTTTAGCTTCAACATCAGTATCCTTATCAATTTCGAGGTCGGATGATTCTTCACCTTTTGTCTGTGAAATCTTCAGATTACTGACAAAAAGATTAAATTGTTTTTAATACGCTTTCTACAGTACAAAACAAAAAAAAACTTTATTATTCGAATTTAGCTAACTCTTAAGTTGAATTTAATATTTATATTAGCTAATATTTCCTAAGAGAATAAAGAAATAATGCATTAATATTTATATAAGTCTGCAATCTGAAAATTTCTGCCTAATTAAAATACAATAATTGAATAAAAATTAACTTAGAAACTCGTAGAAATAAATACATAACAGTTGAAAATACAAAAAAAATCTGAATAAATTAGAAGAAAACAAATCAGTATTTAAAAATATTTTGGAAAAATTGCATTTACAGATAATTACTCATAACACTTAACCTCATTTGTATAGATAGAAGATGCTTGTTTGTTTGTTCTCTATGCACGCCTAGACCGTTCGACCAATTGCTACAAAACTCGGCAGTTACGTTCAAATACTTCTAACTTAAATAATGTTATACACCGCACCCCAAAATATCGATTAGATTTCTATTTATCAATTAATTTCCGTCTACATTTGATTTGTTGACTTTATATGTAGTGCCATCTATTGACAAAAAAGTTAAGAAAATAATAAACAATATATAATTCTTGCAAAAAAGGATATCTTTTTAAAAAATATATATTTTATTTACTTAATACTGCGACATAGACGCGCTATTACGCCATTAATGCGACAGGTAGCACATGGCACTTGCCTGAACAGAGTGGAAAATGTTACCCTGTAAATATTTAATTTTGCACATCTAACAACTCGGGGTTTTTCATTTCTGAGCAGTACTTTCTTCATTCTAACGAGCGATCATTTATTGTGACATCGTCACAATGTTTCTCAAGTTTTTAGTAGTGTTTTGCCCCTGTACATCATACTTTTCCGTTAGCAGCAGAGTCGTGCCAGTTATGTATCTAACTCAGTTCAGGGGAAACTTTTGAATTGGAATAACGTCACGTCCGGTGCAAACGAGAAGTTCGTATATAGTTAATCTGGGCCTAATTGTATTAAGCTCTGCACATCTGGTCTCGACTTTCATCTATCTAACTCCGTTCTCTAGATTAAGGAAAGACAGTCAGACGGACGACAATGGGAATTTATAGATGTACAATTTTTTCGAATTGCAGCCCAATAAATATCCTCTAGTAACGCAGCATGGCCAATGGACTGGCCACATGGAGTTTTTTTCGCGTTAGTAGCACCAAAATAGGAACCAGCTTTACATAAAAGTTTTCCCGGAATGCATCCTCCTTGGCAGATTGCTCACTTGTTGCATTCTGTAGCCAAATAAACCAAACCAATTCTAATAATATTTCTATAAATACTTCACTACCACAAAAGCTGGACACCCTGCCCCTTTCCCTGATTTCATTTCTTTTTTATTAAGTCAAACCCATTGCCCAAACTTCCTTCACTGATACTGCTGAAAGATGTTCTAACGTATAGCCAAAGCTGGACATACAGCAATTTTAAGGCGCAAAGTAGAGCTTGAAGTCTTTTTCTGTGTCCATGATTGTTTTTCCAATATGTTATCATGGCGACATTGCTTCATTCAAAATTTCCTATAGTTTTAGTCTGTGTAATGTGCACTTTTTATTTAAATCTTATATGAAGTCTTCGGACGTTAAAAGTTAGCAACTTCGATCACCTGCTGGGCCATCACAACCTGTCTAACACGGATCACTTTTCAAATATTAACAGTAGTCCAATATTAATTAGTATTCATCCTGAGCATCCTCTCTTCCGGGAGGACGTCCACGACTATTATTAGTCGAATTACTTCAACCCTCTTCCGCAACAGTCCCGCCTTCCTACAGGATCAACGGTATGGTGGCATCCGAATAGGAAAATTACATTAGCTCTTTATATTCTCATAAAAATTGCCCGAGTTTTATTTAATAAACCTATAACTTTCCTTCTGGGAAATGAATAGAGTCGTTTAATCTAAAAATGTTTAATTTTGTTTTCATGTATCCTTTATAATAAATTTACTCAAAAGCGCATTCAAAATACTAATTATGTAATTATTAACTTACGCATGTTTTTCCGCTGCCTTTTTCAAAAATTCCATACGAGCCATGTGTGGCCATTTGGACGATCTTCCTTCCGTCGGGGCACTTGTTCCTCTTTGTATTATTTTCTTGTAAGTATCTCTCACAGTCCTCCACTTTTCTTGGCATTCTTTGGCTAAAAGAAATATTTATTAATTAATTTTTTAATATTCGTTATAAAGACTTAATTTATATTATTATAATACTGTTCACTAGTTGTGCCTGTATATGAAACAAAATATTGAATGAAAGTAAGTAATTATTTGGTAAATTATCGGGACAGAATCTTTGCGAATATAAACAGTATTGTGGGTTCTCCTTGATTTCTTTTGGATAGATTGTTGGGATAAAGCAGGCACTCAACACAGGCTGTTATACACGTTACGTGTCTTGTGTAATTACGGAGATGATAAAAATTTACATATAAAACAAATATTCTATTCGTGTACTGTTTGTACATGTATAGACTATTCGTTTTACCTCAGAGGAGCAGTGAACACCGTAACTATCGCATAAAAACCTTCATTTTCCAGCACATTTCACTAAACTTCCTTAAAGTTAGTATGGTATCATGTTTATCCTTGGACCATTCTTCTTTGAAGAACAGGCTAGTCCCAATGAACTCTCTCCCGTGGACACTAAGAGTGTCCTTTTAATCAAGCTCATTCTGGGTTCGGCTAGGCCCACAATGGACCGACCGGATGATGAAGTATGGGACTATATATATCCAGGACTGGAGTTTTTCGACCCGTCCTAATTCGAATCCGGGTCCCCAGAGCGGTAGACAATTTAAGTATATACATTAAACGTAAGTTATACGTAGTCACTGTCATAATATCTTCATTTTGATATACATTTTGATACATTAGCTTGTTAATTTTGGTATATAATAATCCATTTTGCTTACCATAAATTGAGTTATTTCAACTGCATAAAATCGCGTACGAAAATATAATGTTTCTGAATAAAATTTAAAATATTGAAATATTTTTAGATTATTATATATATATATTATATACTTATCAGATAATTTTAGCAAACTCTTCATCAATATAGTTGCGAGTAGTCACGATTCTTTCATTTATTGGAAAATACTTTTATAGATAGACTGTAATCTATTGGCCATTATTTGAATCGCTCACTTGTTAGAAAATTTTTAAAGCTTAAAAGACGATAGTAGTTTCTCGTTAGATTCTCCCAAATAAAATCTCGGGCTAATTTCTCGTCAGTCGGGTGCTGAATTGATAGATTCATACGCCCACTGTTCTCTCGCCTACGAGAAAAGGCGTATAAAGAGGGTGAATGAATGTAAGGCACTTGATCTCTATTTTGCACGAAAACCGGATATTTTTAATTTAAAATATATGTTCTCAACCTCAAATTATTAGTGGCTTGACCTTGTACATCATAATTTTCCTTTCATCTTATAGGATCTAATTCTTGTTTAATAATGACCGACAGCGATAACGACAGGACTTTTATTGGAAATTATTTAGGTATTAAAAACGTGAATAAAACCACGTGGACAGCCCGTTGGAGAGGCTCGAACCCACCACCACCAACTTACGTTGGTGGTGGTGGGTTCGAGCCTCCACCAACGCCAACAAAGATATTTTCAGGTAAAAATATATTTATATTCAGATCAGGTTCAGATATTTTGTCTTATTTTTGACTGTTTTCCTCTTTGCTCTTTTTTAACGAAATTTTTAACGAATGGTGGCTTGTGTGAAGGACATTGATGCTATTGAATTTTGATGGTTAAAGGATGGGAAGATGAGGAGATAAAGGAGTGTGTCATATTTCGAGAATAATAGGACTTAATGTTAATGAGGAATAAAATCTTCATTGACACTTTTTATAAAGCTCATTTCTACCCTCAAAATTAAGCCTTTTGCCATTTTATAGTAATTAAAAATATGAGATCTTCTTATAAAAGGTTTTTTTTTTAATTTATAACAGATGGCGCCTCACACAATTTTATTTATTTTGCTTAATAGTACAAAAGTTATTGGGCCAAGCGGTTCCTTTCCCCGAACACTGGGAGTTCGGGCCTGGCCAGGACGGGCTGGCCACGTGGAGTTTTCCAAGTTTTCTTCACGTCTATAATACCTGAATAAGGGCCAGTTATCCTTAAAAAGACCTTCCCCTATGCAGATCGCCCAAGTGTTGCGTTGCCTTAACAAAAGGGCTGCCGCAAGGGAGATAAAGCAGACAATCAAGTTGACCTAAGGTGGCTATGGATTTACATAGGTATTAGATTAGTAACAATAGTTTGGACTAACGCAGCTTAATGGAGATTTTTCGCAAATTTTAAATGTTGGTTCCTTCTGTAGCATCTAAATTACATCCTCCGAATACTTCTTTGGGAATAAAATTTCATAAATCGAAAATTATTTTTACTTTGCTATAACTATTAACGAATATATATATATATTTTTTTATCGTTTATTAATAAATGATAAGAAATAATATTAAATTTATTATTTTATAATTTTACATTTACACTTGATTATAATTGAGATTTTAACCGAAATTTAACCGTTCCATCCGACAACGCCATCTACAGAAAACCGGCGTTAACACGTAACGTCAACATACCAGACGTCGTTAATTTTACTAGAACTAACTTGCCTGGTTTACGCACAACGGTGCTTATCGATCTCCACGCCATGCATTTCTTTCGTATTTTTCGATAATCCCATCTCAAAGGGTTCCATAACCACGGATAACGTTTCACTTCCGTTATAAGAACCGCGGTCAGTTCCGTACTCCAACTCTCCGCCATTAAAGAAAAATTAACGAAACGTTCTGTGATTGGTTAGATTCGGCAGCTCGATGCATATTTCTGCCGCAGACGTCAGAAACTAGCTGAGGTCATCGATGCACGCTTCGTTACTATGGAAACCAGCCGCCGTATCGTCCAAACTGATCGATGTCCTGATCGATCGATCGATCGATCGGATATTCGCTTTTCGAATATTGAAATAAATATAATAAAATGCATATAAACTGTATAAAATTTTAATAAAATAAATTCAACTGAAGTTCAACCCAAATATTTTTTTTTTACATATAAAATTGATTTATGTTTGATTAATTGCAGTGAAAAATAAAAGATATTTTATATACAAGTTTTTACTTTTTCTTCAATTATATATTACAAAAAATATCATGATTTCAAGCATGAAATGCTTTAATAATAAAATTATTACAAATAAACACATGAAATAATATATAATTGTTTTAAGTCCAGTTATAAATGAAGACATATATTCATAAATTAATGCAATTAGTTATATTAAAAAAATAATTTATAAGAATGACAGTACAATCAAATGAATTCTAATATGGATGAAGAAGAATAATTGAGTTAACAATTTATATTAAGATAATTATACATCTTTAGAAACAATTTCTCTTATTGATATTGAAGTCTGATATTGATAATTTGTATAAGTTTGGTAAATTAATTAATAAATGAAATGTGTCATCACACATTGTGTATACTTTGTGGTGCCCACCAGAACCGAACACTGTGAGTTCGGTTGTGGGTTCGCGCCTTGCTTGGACAAGCTGGCCACGTGGAGTTTCCAGGTTTTCTCCACGTCTGTAACGCCTAAATAGGGACCAGTTTTCCTTAAAAAGACCTCCTGGAAGGCATCTCCCCTAGGCAGATTGCCCACGTGTTGCATTGCCATAACTTAACAAATAAACAAACATATACTTTGTGCGTCAAAATTTACAGCTATGTTTTCACTTTAGATTGTTATAAATTAATGTTATCAAATTTGTCGGGACCACGCGGTAGATTTTCTCAGTATGATGCAAGTCTTCGAAATTCCGCCGCTTATGCCACCTCTTAAATGCTGCTTGTTCCACCCCATTATGGTGCCGCCTAATGCGGCTGCATCTCTGCATCATATCATAGCACAGCACAGCCCTGAAATTTGTATAAACTTAGAAAAAGATAAGTATAATTTAAGAAAATGAAATCACAAATACAATACAATTAAAATATTTTTTAATGTTTTAAAATAATAATAATAATGAATTAATAAACATTATCACTAAGCATTAGTGATAAAAAGTTTTTTTTTATTTTTAAAATAGCTGTATCCTTTATTTTATTTGTTACTTACTGCCACTAAAGTGAAAACCATCTAACAAAGATTATCAGTTTTATATTTTAATAGAAAATAATATATTACATATTTAAATCAATAAATTTTATAATAAAAATTCCAGGTTTAAGTAAATATTGAATTATTAATACAGAAAAATTATTCCATGGAATTCAATGAGAATGAGATTGCAAATTTTCAGAGTAGATTTTAATGAAGAAAATTTTATGCAACTTCAAATTAAATTTTAAAAGTTGTGCGTTTTGAAAAAGAAAAAAAAAACTATTTTAATTTTAAATAAAATATTATATTATTTTATTGTTTCTAGTTTTGTATTCAGAATAACATATCAGTGATAATTTAGTTTACAGAGCATTTGAATAAAATTCAGTCTGATCTCATCGATGATACTTTACCTGCCGATTCTAATATGTGCCATATTCAATTACAGCATTTACAGTATATCAGAAAAGGTAAATCAAGTTTTAATAAATCTTTACTCCTTTCAAATTAAAAATAGTTTCATGATCTATTTCAATTTTATAGATATTTATTTATCAAAACTAAATAGAAAAGGTTTTTTTTTTTACTATTTGGCAAAAACATTTTTCTTATATTTACTTTAAATATTTACATCAATATTTAATAAATGATTTTATGATAAATATTTCAGGTATTCTAGAATCATCACTTCATACATTAAATGCTGGCCATATTTTGCTGGAAGAATTGCATCAAGTAGGAGAAGATAATTTGGGTGATGCTCGACCAAATCATGTTTATCCTGCCGTCCAACAAGCCACGAGCATAATTGAAAAACACATGGAATTATTGCATGATCAGAAATACAGGATAGATATATTCTGGAATAAAAGAAAACTGATTCTTGAACAGTGCTTAGAAATATTCACTGTGTCAAGTGAATTGGAACAGGTAATATATATATTGAAATTTAAGTACACTTACTAATATATATATATATAAGAAACATCTCAAATTAAACTTACAATAAATATATTCTAGATACATAATTTACTAATAGAAAAAGTTCAGAACAGTAAATTTAATAATGAATTGGGTGATTCAGTTACCACTGTGGAAAGACTCCAGAAGAAGCACAGTCAGTTAGAAAATGAAATTAAGGTAAATTATTTTAATAAATAAATCATAGATAATTAGCTATATATATTATAATTGATATTATATTTAAAATACTTTTGTTCATAAATTCACATTCCTGAAGTGATATTTGATATGTTTGTATGAATGTTTTTCATTACTTACAGATACCTAAGAAAACTAAAACAAATTAATTTTACATTTGTTAATTACTGATAATAATATATATTATTTTCATGTATAATTTAATTGTTCTACAATTAACAGAAATTTTAAATATTTTATTTATAAACTTTGTTTAATTTAGCTATAATATCATTTAACTTCAGAGAAATTAAAAAAACATAAAATATTAAATTGACATGATAAAAATAAAATAAGAGGTTTTAATATTATTTAATGCTGAGAATAAGGTCTCACAAAAGTATATAGAGGGAAAAATTGTGAGTAAAGCAATCACTAGATTTTTCAGGGTGCTAAAAGTGTCTGGTAATCTGTTCCAAGCACTCAAAATTTCCTGTTCATAGTGACACTCTTTGTCATTCTCCAAGCGATTCCTTTCCAGAGTCAGATGTTTGACCTCAAGTCAACAAACACTTAAGCCTAGATGCTATCTTAAAATTCTGCAAGTTGCATCTCCAAATCATCAATTTGTATCCATTGGAAACCATTTAATTTCAAAGTACTGAAGACTACTTCATCTGGAAACAATGCATGTCACCCAAAATGTGTGGTGTGTCACCTTTGACACATGTGTCATAGGTTTGCTATAACTGGCTTAGAGAGTTCCCCCATGCAGGTATGAAGGAAAACATATCCAATAAAGTAAACATGCTCTACAACTCAAATGAAAGAAACAAAAGTTTATTTCACCCAGGGCTGTGGAGTCGGAGTCGTGGAGTTTTGGTGTTTTAGCTGGAGTCGGAGTCAGATGGTAAGGAAAAGTCGGAGTCGGAGTTGGAGTCGGTAGATTTTTATGCGACTCTACAGCCCTGGCAAGGCTGTGGAGTCGTAGTCGGAGTCGTGGAGTTTTGGTGTTTTAGCTGGAGTCAGAGTTGGTAGATTTTTATGCGACTCCACAGCCCTGATTTCACCATCCTTAAGTTCAGTTCAAGACTCAGTTATCATAATATATACCTTAATTATCCATATCTCTCCTGCACTTGCTGTTCGTTACACGCACAACTCGAGAACAAAGAAAGGAAATACTACCTTGCCACTCTTTGACACCTACTTCTTACCTCATCTTTTCGTCTCATTTGCCAAGCCAAAAATTTGCTCTTTGTCCTGTAGGCCTGCACAAGCGTTCTTCTAGATCTGGGTCCCTCTGATGTCATTGAGCCCTGAGAAGCTTGGATTCTATCTCAACCCTTCCAACCATGACAAGCCCAT